CTTCATTGGCACCTCTCTCATCAGAAACAGAAAGGTGTGGCCAATATTTCTGCTGAAGCAGAGTATAGGAGTCTTTTAGTTGTCTTTGATGAACTGATTTGGCTCACTAACTTCCTCATTTTTCTTCGGCTTCCTTTGGCTAAAAAAACACTTCTCTTCTGTGACAATTCTGCTGCCATACATATCGCTCATAACTCGGTTTTTCATGAAAGAACAAAGAACCTTGAGATGGATTGTCACAATGTTCGTGAACGCTTAGTTGCAGGTTTATTCAAGTTGTTACATGTGAGAACAGATTTACAGTTGGCTGATCCCTTTAGTAAGCCAATGTATCCTGCACCGTTTAAGAGGTTGTTGGGCAAGATGGATCTTCTCAATATATTTGTCCCATCTTGAAATTACATTAGTTACTACAAGTTTACATTTTATAAATTTCAGAAAATAGATCATATAAAAACATATTTTTGCTTATAATTTTAAATATTCCATTTTATATAATATTATAAAATTATATATAACACATAATTTATTTCAAAAACATTTATTCATTTTTTAAATGTTACTTAAGTGAAATTTAGATAAATTATATTTTTCTTTTAGAAAATGTAATATTAAAAAAAATAAGAAACCAAAAGAAAACAGTTGTAATAAAAATATAATTGTAAGTAGCAAAATAAATGAAAAAGGGAGAAATGATTAAAAGTGTAGAAACATTTTTAAAAGAAAGAGGAAAAAAACAAAAACGCTTCAACGCTTTTGAACCCGGATTGGGTGGGGACAGTGTACTCTTGTGAACCACTGAGCTAAACTAAAATACATGTTTGTTCACGTCACAAGCAGTTTATATTATTGTTTCTGATGGTTATTCTATTCTGGTATGTTTTTGTTAGACCACCTCAAGTTTGAGTAATATAATAGTCGTCTGATGTCAAAAATAACAAATTTGTTGTTTTGTTTCTTCTTATATACTATTATATGTAGTATTGAATGTTGTTTCATATTGAATTTATTTTCCTTGCATATAAAATAAAATAATACAATAAATAAAGTATTTGAAGTTTTATTTGTTTCATGTAGATTTTCTATTATTCAAGTACATAATATTTAAAATTTTGAAAATAGTTATTATATATAAAATTAATGGACTTTTAGACATGAAAAATGATATTTTTATTATTTATGAAATGATAAAAATGATTTCATATTGATTTTATATATTATTATTTATATTAAATGTTATGTATATACAATTAATTTCCGGTAAAATTAATGAATTATTTACTTTTAATGGATATTTTGTTAAGATATATTTTAATTTAAAATAATTATAAATTCTGTCTATGTAAAATTAATAGATTTTATATTTTGAAGGAATATTTTGTATACATATATAAACTGAGAAATGATAATTAATGCCTAAAATTAGGATTGGTTAGTTTCCAGTGGTATTGATCATATTTAAATTTTTACTAATTTATTTTTATCATCATTATTAGATTTTTATTTTAATACTTACATCATTATTTATAATACATAATAATTTGATATGTATTAATTTTCGAAAATTTTATTATTTATATTTCTAAATTTTATATATATTTGATAGGGTCAATAAATTTATTAACAACTATTTCCATATAATTATACTCTAGAATTTATGATTGCAAATTAATTAAGTTTAATTTTAGGAAATATATACATTGGTGTGATCTGTCAAAATAATTAAGCTTGATTTTAGAAAATATATGTTTTAGTTAGTTTTAAAATAAATGGAATAATCTGTGAATACCAAAAGCTTATTAGTTAATTTATTATAAATACAGTGACTAAATATATAAATAAAATAAATTTTAAAAAGTATTTCGGTTTTAATAATATGGATTATCTTATGCGAAAGAAAAGAATTACTCTTCGC